ATATACCGGACACAATTCCAGACTCCGTGCTACTACTGAGAATTTTTTAAAAACCCAATAATACTTTGCCCGACTCGGAAATCGAACCCGAGACCCCTTGCCTGGCGGTCGCACTTGCGACCACTCGGCCAAAGAAGCAGTCAGTTATAAAAATATGAATAAATAATTTGGAATTTAATGCAAAGTAGAAATAAAACTCAAATTCGTTATGTAACAACTAGTCCTACTAATAAAATCCGCGGACGGCTCAACGGGTTGCCGGGGCTCCGGCTTAAAATGCAGGAGTAGGAACGAGGTGGTTTTTAGGCAGTAAGAGTCTGACACTCCCTCTCGCCTCACCCGGGCGGGAGAAGTCATTGGATGATCTTCCCCACTCAAAAAAATAATCCTACTATAATAACTTACAGTTCGGTTCGTATTTCACTTAAAACTTACATAACAATCAAAAGTTTTTAATCTAAGTTATATTCCAAGGACAGAGAGTAACAAATTGGATGCTATCATTTTACGTAATTAAGTGGCGAAGTTGCTTTCATATTTCGCGTTTGCCCAACCGAAAACAAAAGCGAGACATTAACGTGAACAATGATTCTGGGTTGAAGTTTACACTTGTCTTATGTTCTGTAACGCGATGTCAGGGTAGACAAAAGGCGAGGGGTTTTTTCGAAAAAAAAAAGATGGTAAAATATGGCTCCCACCGCCTATTGTATGAAACTCTTTATTCACGACCTTTTTCCTTCTCATTTCCCTATTTTTATTGTGAAAGGATTAACAATAGTACAGGTATGGCGGCGGTGTATTTTATAATGACTTGCATAAATTAGGACGTACGTATTTCTGTTGTTGGGGATAAAGTGACCGTGAATTGTGTTACGTATTAAAATCTCTTTGCTTTTTTATATAGAAGGTGAAAGTGTAATCACCTTTTGACCTTTTAAATCGTTTTTGTACACATAATATACACTCACTTCTATATACGATAGGATTATTCCAATAAACCAACTACAAATTTAGATTCAGTGTGAATTCTGACAAATTATAGTACCTCTACAATCACAGGTTTATTCTAATTGAAAATTGTGTCATAATGGGCATTCGTGAGTGACACTGTTACAATTAATTGCTACTAAAACAGACTCAAAGTTTTTGTATACTAGATTATATTACTATAGCACTAACGAGGAAAGTTCATACTATTTTAGTTAGACATTAAAAATATGAATAACCTTTTACTTGTATACTAACAAATAAAGTTTAACACTAACAGAACGCAACTGTGCCTTAGTGTATTTTATGAGATAAGCCGGTAACACGCAGACGGATCACCTGATGGTAAGCAATCGGCGTCGCCCATGTACACCTGGAACACCAGAGGTTTTATAAGTGCGTTACAGACTTTTTGGGAATTAAGAATTTGAGGATTGTGGGGGATTCGGGGATTGTTGAGACAAGGCGGTAATTGAGCTTCCGACAATCTGACTCACACGACGAAACACATCGCAAGCATTGTTCACGTCGGTTTTCTGTGAGGCCGTGGTATCACTCCGGTCGAGCCGGCCTAATCGTGCCGAAGCATAGCTCTCCCACACCTAATTTATTTATGAGCCTCTTCTTTATAAAGGTGTTTGTCATAATCTCTACGCCTAGTAGACAGTTAGGAAATTGCTTTAGGTTTATCAGTGAACATAGTCTTGTCTCTGTCTAAGCTAACTACTATGAAATCCGTCAATTGCCTGCTACGGCCTTCATGGGGATAGTAGTGATGATCACAATAATGTATTATACTAGTTACATCTAATACTTGTTTTAGTATGTAATGGCCCCAACACTATATACTGCCAATATAAACTGTCAAGGGAAATTGTAGAGGTAGAAAAAACCAATATATTTGTATCGAGACTAAAAAAATATTTAATAGATAAATGCTATTACACTCTTAAAGACCTTTTTGATGACAGTATAATTTCTAAACAATAATTCTTAATATTAATACAAATTTTGTTAACTGTACTGTAATTTTAATATTATGTATAATTTGTTAATTAATAATAATAATTGGTCTTTTTGTTTTTTGTTCGTATAAATTATATCAAAATGCTCTAATATTGTTTATGAAATGTATTGTGACTCTGTAATGCTAGTTTGTAGTTTTTTTTTGTATTAAAATTATATATTTCCTTGCTGTGCCCGACAAGGTCCACAATGAACTGTATTATTCTATGTTACCACCTAAGTAAAACATTGTGGAACGCAATAAAGAATTTGAATTATATTGCATTATAAAAGTCAACAACTGTCACAGAGTGCACTGTCGTACTGTCATATTTTGGTGTGTAAAGTCGGTGTGTGTTCTACCCAAATTGTATTAATTAAGTAGTAATACATTTTAATATTACTTCGTTTAAGTCAATCCAAAAACATAACAATACTTAGGTTTAGTTAGTAATAAAGCTACCAAGCAACAACAAATCGTGTTATTAATCCAATAATCTGTTAAATATTGACTTGCATAATTGTAATACATGTCATGTATGTTTCGGCAATTCCATTGTATGCACTATGACATGAACAAACATCAATTATATCTGCGAAATAGACATAGCACTGTGACGATTAATATGTTGAGTGGGTCAAACAGTTACTCGTCGTATGTGTCGCAATTGTAACAGCTTAATGCATACTGTCTATTGTAGAGGTAAATGAGAAAATAGTTCTGTTTGTACCTGAAAATTGAGTTCAGTGTTGATTAAATTGAAGACTCAATTAAAAAGTCTGCAATTAGGGTTTGTTCAAAGGAATTCGCACTACGTTATTTTTTTATGGAATCAGCCGGTTAACGAGCAGACACTTCGCCTGATGATAAGCAATCGGCGTCGCCCATGGACACCCAAAACACCAGAGGCGTTACAAGTGCGTTACCGGCCTTGCTGGGATTACGAATTTGAGGATTATTGGGGACTCGTGGACAGGGAGAAATTGGGCCTCAAGTAACCTCACTCACATGACGAAGTTCAAGTGTTTTTCACGTCGGTTTTCTGCTCGGTCGTGGTATCACTCTGGTCGAGCCGGCCCATTCGTGACGAAGCATGGCTCTCCCATACATTGTATTTAGACTTGTAATGATAACAAAAAATGCCTAAGAGAATAAAAAGACGATGTGTTATTTGTTCATTTTTCTATTATAATACATTAGGCCTAATTCCATATTATATCGAACCTGAATTTCAATTACCATTTTGCTTGTATAGCACAATAACAGCAATAAAGTGCTTTTATGATATTTTCGTAAATTATTTTCAGTCATAAATACCTTGATTGAGATTTAACACCTTATTCAATACGTCTGTAAAGTAATAATAAAATTGGACACAGTTTCGTCGTCAATATTTTCAATTTCAAAGGCGTCCTCGTTTAATTTAATATGGATTGGATTTAATCAAAACCTTTTGGCAGTGACTTAATAATCCAATTTTAAGACTAGTATTTCTTATATAGGTTTAGATTTATATAGGTTTTAATTAGCCTTTTGGAAACATTCGCGGACGGCTTAACGGGTTACCTGTGCTCCGCTTCAAAGCAGGAGTCCAAACGGCGCGGCGTGGTTTTAGGAAGTAAGAGTCAGATCACCATCACCATCGTACTACCAGACTTATGGCAGGGCGCCACCCTTATATTGGTTATTATAGGTTGACATTACACATTACACTCATTTGCACGAAGCGTTTCGCGTCAAGCTTCCTTCCTACTGCTAAGGAATAGAATTCCTTGCCTGAATCTGTGTTTTCCGACAAATATAACTTGGGTGTCTTCAAGTTCCAAGTGAACAGGTTGCTCGTGGATAGGCGTTCTCCACCGTTGGCCACATCATCATTTACCATCAGGCGAGATGGTGGCCCAAGATGGTGATAGGCTGATCACTTGATATACTTATATTAAAAAGACACTCTTTCGACTCACCTAAGGTGGGAGCAGTCATTGCATGATGATTACTTTGAATATACTTTGCCCGGTCTGAGAATCAATCTATTTGGTAGTTATCGACTGTATACGACTGGCCATAAGACCACTCGACTAATAAGCGCGTCTCCGCTAATTTAATACGGTCGTAGAAACAGACCTAACCATATTGCTAATGTAAATACAGCACTGTTACAGTATAGTTCTACGTGTACTTATTTTGATCGCAATTTTGAACAGTGTGCAATGTACATACATAAAGTCTCTGTTTTGTAACTTCACGGTGTGCTAAACAATTATGTCTTGGAAGAAACTGCTTTTGTTTGTCTCGTGCCAAGAATAAAATAGTTGAAACATGATTTTTATTGTTATTATAGTTTTTGACTCATACGTTTTGAATAACATTCATTTTTATATTTAGCGAATAGTAATTAAATAGTTTCAACACTTTAAAAGTATTACTGGGTTTTAAAAATCTAAATCTCAGTTATTGCACGGAGTCTGAAATTGTGCGCGGTATATAGCAATAGGCTCACCCCCTATTACATGGGACTCATAACATAAATAATGAAAAGTGTGTGTTACATAGTACAGTGGCACTAAGTGCCGTAATGTGCACCTCTGCCTACACCTTTGAGGGTAAAATGGCGTGATGCTACATTATGTTCATTATTCTAAACTACATATTATAAAGTTTACATGTAATATGCCTCTAATAACTGTTTTCTTTTGTATTTTTTCATAAAGTTCTATTGGTCAATCTTTATCACCCGTACTAAATAACACGCAATGCTAACAAAACGAACCGAAATACCAGTGGAGTTTTCAAAACTACCCACAGAAACAATAATAAATAAATGAACCGAATCGACAAAATGCTTCTGTGCATAACTTCTGAAAGACTGCATCAAATTGGATAGCTCCTGATCGCTACATTCAAACTAACATTGTTTCGGAATAAATCCTGGAAAATTTTGGAACAGCACCAGTAGAAATGAAGGCAGCCTACAAATAAAAATCTAATATTTCAATTTTTGTTACAGCATGCAACAGGACGTACATGGGAGACGTGGGACGCACATACGAATTAGAGGTCCGGAGGCCTCGAGAGGATCACCTCCCTTTCGTCTGCCACCTCAACTTCACCGCTATGGGCGGGAACTATGGCGACATTATACAGGTATTTAGAAATAGCTACGTGATCGGAATCCTAAGTAGGACCCGTGTCAAACGAATCGTTCCGAACTAGTATGTGATTGTAATCTGAAATAGGAAGATTGTATTTTAGCGGACGAGTAGGGTTGAATTTTGATCGGATGAAAATCTTATTGACGTAAGTGTTCAAGTTATGGAGACCGGTTACATTCGTTGAATTGGTTATTAAGTACCTTGTTTAAGATTCAATCGGGATTTTGGGTTAGATAATTTAATATTTGATTGTTTTTTGTTTGATATATTATAAATCGAGTTCAAAAAATAAGGAATAAATATCTCACTTCGACCCCTATGTTTGTCTGTATGTTTGTGTGCAATTATCTCGCGATCGGCTAAACCGATTTTGATGCGGTTTTCAGTAAAATGTTTGGTCCACTTAGGAGAAGGACTTAGTATGTAAATAAACCGACCTCAAAAAACGAGAGAGTTGAAGTCGGTTTTTTAAAGGTTGTTTCTAAATAAAATAATTTGAGATATATATATTTTTTTAATAACCGTTGCCCCACACTAGAATTTTCTCCTGTGTCTTGGGTGCGTTTAGAAATATACAAGTTCACATACACATGACATCCAGATCCGAAACAACAAATTTTGGATCACATAAACTGTTGTTCCGTGCGGGAATCGAACCCGCGACACGTTGCACGGCAGCCGGTTGTCCAGCCACCGGGCAAATCGTACAGTCAAATAATATTCGTGTATTGTCTTGATGATTCCACTACAGATGGATCAAGACACCACAACTATATTGACGAAACTTTATACCATATTGTCTATTAAACTGTCAAACACCAAGCGGTAACCGGTGACCGCAACCTATTGTTCTATAATTGTGTCTACAAAACCGGTACTCGACGAGTTAATCTAAAGTATTTCCAATTTATAAGACGTCAGGCGAACATTTATCTCTGTACCACAACTTATTTAAGTTCATAAACGTAATCAATAAACCAACTTACTCAATAAACCGACTGCCTTGTTGGCCGAGTGGTCGCGAGTGCGACTGCCGGGCAAGGGGTCTCGGGTTCGATTCCCGGGTCGGGCAAAGTATTACTGGGTTTTTAAAAAATTCTCAGTAGTAGCACGGAGTCTGGAAATGTGCATATAATGCCGGTATATGGCAATAGGCTCACCCCCTATTACATGGGACTCATAACATAAATAGTGAAAAGTGGGTGTTACTTCTGTGTGCACCTCTGCCTACCCCTTCGGGGATAAAAAGCGTGATGTTATGTTATGTTAAACCAACTTACTTCTACATTCAAACAATACAATCGGTATAAACATTGGACCTCTATAAATACTGAATTTCGAGAAAACCAATTATATAAGAGCGAAAGATTACAAATAATCCCAAAAGCTAGTCGACATTACTTCGAATCCACGTTTGACATGATTAAAATGGCTTTCATATTAACAAATTGTATTCAGAATTCTTGGAAATTCATTTCAGACAAAACTAAGCATTAGACTCCCGACCACATTCTTATATAAATGAGGTATCAATGTACGGATTATTTGGTGGTTAAAACTGGGTACAATGGCATTAGTAGGACGAGATTTTTGTGCCAAATAGAAATTGACTTTAAAGTGTGAAGGTAAAGTTTAGAATTCAGTGATAGCGTTTCGTAGACTTGATTTTGTACGTAACGTTACGTCATTATAGGGATGATTATTATATACCTGAATGGAGTTTCAACCCTATTGTCATATATTTAAACGTTAGTTTTGACCATGGTTTCACAAATGTGTTTCACTGAGTTTAGTGTATTACTTGTAATTTCTAAGTTACTGAACGACTAAAATTAATTGTATATGACATGCTTTATTACTTTTTTGTATCGTTCATCTCGAAGACAGCGCACTTTATTTGTATATGGAAATATAATCATTAATTATGACTACACCACTTTTCATAGAAAAGGAATAGTCCTTTGAAAAACAATAGAATTCTAGCTAAACATGTGTTCCAAAAATTTCAGTTAAACATTCACCCACGGATCGTAAACACAATAGACTGGTCATCAAATAACTTAACGCCTAAATATTGTATGCTAAGGAGTTTTTTTCAAACATTGCCTCACACTAGGATTTTTTCTTGAGTTGTGAGTGCCTTTATAACAAAAAAAAATCAAAGTTCCCATACAAATCATACCCAGACCCGAAACAACAATATGTGGATCCGACAAAAAGTTGTTCCGTGCTGGAATCGACCACGCTACACGTTGCGCGGCAGCCGGTTGAGCAGCCACAGCGCCAACCGTACAATCAAAACAAATTGTGCTAACATTTTTAAGATACTCGATTCCATTTTCCTCAGTATGAATGGAACGCACATGTCACGTAACGTCATGAACGTACGTGTGTCATAAAATTAAACAATAATACGTTCAGTATGTACTTAGAGGTATATGTATAAAATTAAAAGATGTTAAGAACCTATTGCACCGATTTTATTATTATTTTGCTTTAAAGATTAGAGTTCCCGCTGATGATTATATTAACTAAAAATCGCGGACTACTCATGTGAATATACTGAGAAAAGCTCTACTAGTTTCGAACCTAAGAGGGGTTCTTTCTCATGCGCAGCGTGTTGTCGCGTCGATGTCGCGCAGCCTACTGTTCATGATTAGAATCCCGTAATAAGACATTTAGGGGTGGGGCTTATTAGTAACTACACCAGTCATTGAAATATTTTGTGAATATTTTTATTCTTGTTTTTGGGAAAAAAGAAATCTCAATATTTTAGACTAATGACTAGGTCAAGTTAAAGTCTATAATATGCATAATATTTCAATGACATAATAGTATTATTTTGTATTTATAATACACGCTGTATATTTAGAACTGGAATTGAAAAGGAAACGTATTGACAAACGCGTTCATTAAAACGTAACGCTTCGTCGAACCAACTGTCTTATTCTCGAAAGGTTTAAATTCTCCTTCATCTGTTTCCTGGCATCATTAGTTCAATTTTTTAGTTTATTTTTCCTGGTTTAAAAAATGTTGTTTTTTCTCTGATTTTTCTTTTTAAGGTGACTCGTTTTGTTTTGGAAATAAATATCATTAATGATGTCTTTTAGAGCAATAGGCTGTTTGTATATGCTAAATTTATTATTTTAACTCGTCGAGTACCGTCATCATAGACACAATTATAGAACAATAGGTTGCGGTCAGTTTAAACAATCAGGACAGTTTAAACTGTCAAACACCAAGCGGTCACCGGTGACCGCAACCTATTGTTCTATAATTATGTCTACAAAGACGGTACACGACGATTTAAGGGCTCTTACACACGAACGGCATATTAGCAAAGGCAGGGACAACTGCTGCCGTCGACACGTGACGGCGGCAACTACTGACGCGACAACGGCAGTTGTAGCGTTCTTCGAAGTTGAAACATCAGTATAATTATTTTTTCTTTCGTTCTTCAGATAAGCTACTCTAGATAAGTACTGTGAATATTTACGAAAAAAAAATCAAGAAGAAAAGTACATTTATGTACCTTGCCTAAGTCATATGGTCTTAAAATCGCAATTTTAACTGTACATGTTTACCCTAATACGTAATGTAACCGGCTCCTTGTCCTTTGTACCACATTCCAAATAAAGAACACGGAACGTACACCCATAGTACGCATGCGCAAGTCTAACAATAACCCAGACAGACTCGGTACGCATTGTAAGGTAGTTCACTGAAGGAACTCTAAGTAACTAAGTTTTAACTAAGCTCTGCAACGAGTACTTCGCGTGTGATAGCGAGATTCTTATTTAGTTACCGTTTGTTGTTAATTAATTAAATTGAATCATATACAATTTTCCTAAGAAATAGAAAGATGTAGTTCTACGTAAGTTTTTTAAGGCATAAGCCGGTAAACGACCAGACGTATCACCTGATGGTAAGCAATCAGCGTCGTTCATAGATACCTGGAACACAAGAGGCGTTGCAAGTGCGTTATCGGCCTTTTGGGGATTAGGAGTTTTAGGATCGTTGGGGATTCAGGGATTGGGGAGATTGAGGACGGATATTTTTGGGGGGTAATTTCGATTTGGAATTTCAAAAGACATAATATACAATTCACCTAATGGTCAAAATGTTAACACATTATATTATACACCATAAGACCACATATTTTACAACAGCTAAACACCTTTAAAATAATCATCATAAGGTACATATTTAAATATCCATGTTGATCTCATAAAGACAAACATATCAAAATCCGCCAAACGTCTTTAAAACAACAATCATAAGAATGATAATTCAATGGCAAATCTAACCAAAAGCATTTGTTTCAGCTAACCTTCGACACGTTCACGGTTGGGAAGTTTGTGTCATTCACGTCGGATGGATGTCCTGATGGGCACATGACTATAGTGGAGCGAGCTCCCTCCCCACCAACGGGACAATGGTGTGGATCTGCATGGGGTTACACCGTCTATTTCTCTGAGTCAGATTCTATTAATATGACCTTGAGATTGGACCGGTTAAGTCAGCAGGTGAGCGCGAATATGAGACTGTATTTTGTGCGTAGTGTAAACTTTTTAATTGTTATCCAGTATGATATTAATTTATTTAAATTAGATACGGTTTTCTTGGTACAGTTTTCCGTATTCAAAGACAACTGATGGCATATTATATTCCTTTAAAAAATCAGGTAACCACAAATTCGCAATTTAAAGTTACTATTCTGATCTTCTTTCATTTTATTTGTCACTTTGTTATGCTAAATACAAATTATGGTTTTATATCTATTATCAATACATAGTATAAAACAAAGTCGCTCTCGCTGTATGTCCGTATGTATGCTTAGATTTTTAAAACTACGCAACGGATTTTGATGCGGTTTTTTTTAATAGATAGAGTGATTCTTAAGGAAGGTTTGTATGTATAAAACATGCATATTGCACCCGTGCGAAGCCGGGGCGGGTCACTAGCAAAAAATATAAAACAAAGTCGCTAACCGCCGGCTGTCTGTCCCTATGTATGCTTAGATCTTACGCAACGGATTTTGACGCGGTTTTTAAATAGATAGACAGAGTTATTCTTAAGGAAGGTTTATACGTATAATACATGCATATTGCACCTGTGCGAAGCCGGGGCGGGTCGCTAGTGATAAATATTTTTCAACATAACGCTTTCATTTAAAAAAAGACTACATCATGTATAATGCATAGGGTTAATTGAGTAAAAATAAAGCGACGTACCATGTTTTCAGTATTTCAATTAAACTTTAACATTTTATCTCTGTCACAAACATAGAGGTTGATTAAAAAGAAAAGCCTTTTCGTGGAAAGAATTTTAAAACAGACATGTAATATTTCATACCCGAAGGTACATTTAGAATGGGGCCACATAGGGATAAGATTTAACATACAATTTGTTAACACAACAAACTGACACGTTTAATTAGAGTTTTTGCTCTCAGCAAAGTTAATCCGTATAAATGAACAACAGTATTTATCTTCATTAAGAGTCACTTACTAAGCATCCCTTTGTGTTGTACTGACGTGATGTAACTAACTACACGTTTTCGCCTGTGACTTGACTAATATTTCACATCGCCCCGCTTTTAACGGTTCGCTGCCTTCCCTTTATCTCTTGTTAGCAGCCGTATTATGTGCACTAAGGGTTGAACTTTCGATCAATTAATTAGGCGACGATTACGGACACCCTCCCGGGACCGCAGGATAAGGATACCTCGCTATTACAATAATGTTATTGGGTACCGCCTTAATTCCTTAATTTAATAACGGGAATTTCGTTTCGGAACCATTTAATACATTTCGGATGGCTCCCTAAATTTTGTTAATGCGCATCGCCTTTTATCTTTTACTAGTATTCTACTTTTAGCGAATCTTTCGAAATATAATTTCGCTTTCCTAATTGATTAATGACTGTTTCTCAATAGAAACAGAAGTTGGAAATTTTTGATTACTTTCGGTTATATTTTTGAGTGGCTCTCGTGAAAGTTATGTTTGTGTTACTTGAGTAATTAATTTAATTTTAAACAACGTTCTATAAATAAAACTTTGAACTCCTATCCTTTGTTTTTCTTCATTGTATATTAACCAATAAAATCCTCTGAAAGTGCTTGCGAATCAGTATTAAAATCCTTAACATAGCTGGCACGTGCAAATTCGTTGTGAGAATATTGACAACCCTATTTCAACAGGGAGTGGGCTACAATTTCGACTTCAAGTTGGCTTACAAGTTTTTGAGGCGTAGTGAAGCGAGATTACGATACGGTAATGCTACTGTTGGCGCGTGGAGAGGCGAAAGGGTACCTGGGACCTACTGCGACAGAATACTGAGTGACTGCGACCTTAGAGCCTGTCGCATACAATCCCCCAACTTCCCCGGCGTTTATCCCCGGAACGCAACTTGTACATACCGCATTGAACATACTAAGGTGAGTAGAAAATGAGATTTGAACTTTATTTATACGTACAATTAAATTTATTTTTATTTAAAGTATTTATTTTTATTTTGGATCACTTTTATGACGTTTTTGTAGTATAATTAGTATCATAAACGCAGACATGTGAACAAATATGTGCATTGATGGATGCAAAGATGCAAAGAATTGGATTCTTTCAAATTAAAATATGTTCTTCAGGAACTGAAAACATTCTTCTTAGGAGTCAAAAATAAACGTGTTCCTGCATCACGCTGTAATTAAATATGAAAAACAGAACAAAAGGTGCGACGCCAAACTTAAAACAAGAGAACAAAGCAATTAAAAAGAGGCATGTTTCTGGTTTTTGTTTAGAAAATAAATCGTAAGCAGGAGAAGTGTAATGTGGGCTTTTTGTGGCTCTTTGTGTTAATATTTAATATAAAATTCACACCAAACTGCGTAACTGTTACACCTGGAATGTACATAATAAATGTAGGATGCGTAAGGGTTGGAACTTTTTTCGTTACACCAAAATGTACTCTCTGTGTTGGTTGATAGAGTTGAGTTTATATTGTGTGTTTTTCTTTGCAGATACCGGCAGATAAACATGTTTTACTAGCAGTAAGACAGACGAATAGTCACAAAATACATATCAAAGACCAAATAGTGAAGTACGATAGAAGTCAGCGCGTATTAAAGTGAGTACACATATAACTTCTGTTCTTCGAGAGTAAAGTCGTTACTAAAGAGGACTGTTTGTTTATTGCAAACTTCTGTCATATTGTGGAGACGTAAACATAAATGTTTTATTTCAGTCTAGAGCTTACAAAAGAGTGTGTTTGTGTGGCTACCTTTGTTTAAATTCAAGTTTAGCTACTCATTTGTTTGGATACACTTCTTTAAGATTATTGTGTAATACAAAATTACCTTTAAATAATATAACATAACATAACATCACGCCTTTAATCTCCGAAGGGGTAGGCAGAGGTACTTAATGTGCATTACGGTACTTAATGCTACTGTACAATGTAACACCCACTTTTTACTATTTATGTTATGAGTCCCATATAATAGGGAGTAAACCTATTGCCATATACCGGGCACAATTCCAGACTCCATACTACCACTGAGTTTTTTTAAATACCTTTAAATACGCCTGTAATATCAACCATTTCCTTCATCACACGCCATAACAATGGTACAAGAAGAGTTCTTACATAACCATAACTCATGTCAGATGACAATCACAATTGCAACACTAATATAGATTAATGAAGAAACACAGTCCATCTCAGTTATTAGTTAACACGGAGTCTTAATCGTGAAATGAGACTTCCATTTTGTAACATTAATAATGTTGACAAATTCTATCCGTTCACCATTTTGGGAAAATTATTTACACCCGATTTAAAGAGCTTGAGAGGCGTCGGTGTTAAGACGAGAAGATTAGCCTTTTATTCCTGGGAGAATTGTTAAAATGAGACTTAATAATATTGTGTTAGCTGTTGGTTTAGAATTTTGTCATGTGATTTTGATAGACGTTTTCATTTACCTTGCTCATTGTGATCATTATTGATACACCTGTTTAAAAAAATCTGTGGTTTTTGGAAACGAAACATATAAAAGAAGTTTGGCAACAGAAGTAAAGTAATAATATCTAACCTCAATACTTTTACAGAATAGCTTTTAAAAACATCGCCCTTTTTAAGCATTTTAAGCGCACACTGATGAACACGTCACTCCAATTTAAATAAGGTCCACGTACCCACGTATATCATTCCACAACACTCCACCTAAACCCTCCAGATACCAATCTGTTCCCATTAAAACCCCAACACTTGTCAAACTTCACTAATCCATCAATCTCTTGTAGGATTTGGGACCAATGCAATGTCGTGCAAGATTACCTCACAGTTTGGGACGGCCCCACTCGCGATTCACCGGTGCTAGTCCGTCTTTGTGGAGGAGATGCGGTACCAGATATTGTCAGTAGAGGTCCCAATATGTTACTGGAGTTTCATACATCGCCCTACGATAATCCGTTTCACCCAGTTCCATTGAGCTATCTACCGGGATTCGAGCTTGAAGTACAGGTGAGTTTTCGTATAGTGTATTATGTGTGTGGATTGGGTGAGATGGCTTCGAAATTTATTTCCGGCTTTGCTATTGGGAGAGAAATATGGAAGATCTGTTGCAAAAAGACTGGTTTGGTGGGGGATGTTATTGTGAATTTGTCTTTGTGTGTTCATAGTGAAGTTGTACATATGAAATTACGTTTATTGTAGTTTGTAGCTTCCCTATACATTTCTATAAATTATTGTGATGAAATAATTTTAGTAACACCATAGTTTTAACTTAATAATCAAACAGACTATACGTTATTCGTACAACAGCAGTTTTTAGAACGAACTTTATTCAGTAAATAAAATCAATTACTCTAACTTCTAGCTTCAAGAAAATAAACTTCTAAAGCAAGCAACATTCCTCTTACAATGATAGAACGAGCTACTAAAAATCGTTACTTTCCAATTGAGACTGAACGATTGCTAAGTTAAAGCCATACTCTCTCTGCAAAGAAAAGTTGATTGTATTGCATTCAACACAAAGCTCATACTTGAAGTATTTAATTCAATATCTCTTTTATCTAGTAGCATGAAGCCTGGCTTTGAATATTAGGTTTATTATAAGGACGTAATGTCGTAAAATATTAAGATTACAGACTATAGTCTTCTTCTAACTGAATGTTAACATGACGTAGCACCTAAACTATATATTACTAAACTTATACTCACCTATCGTAGGTATCGTATCGTAGAAAGGACAAGCTTTCCATAGAATTTAGACGAGGTTGATGAAAACGGATATTAATATATTAATTTGAACATTTAGTTTACAATCACCTTTATAAAAGTTTTAAGAAAATCGCATTATACCTCATCAAAACCAGATAAGTATGATAGTATTTTTGATTTTGAAAGTACACTATAATGTCCCATAAATTACTAAAGATAAAGACATTTATTTTCGTAAAAACATGGTATACAAAGATGTTATAGTTACAATATAATAGATCATCATGTTTTGCTTAATAAATAAAGCATGCAAATTTTAACTTTTAACACTTATTTTAACTAACTTACACTCGTAGTTATAGATTACACATTATTATTAATGTTCAAAAAATTCCTTAAATAAAAGGTATTTTCATTAAAACATACGTATAATTTATTTTAAACAGTCTACGGTTGAGTATTTTAAATGTAATCGGCTATTTTATTATATTTTGTAAACTTAGGAAACTCCTAACACATCACTTGTATATTCGTTTTCCGATGTATAATCTATGTTATCTCATACAGGTACTCTATGTGGAGAAAGACTCCCATTCATACGTGCGTTCAGATGGCCGTTGCCGTTTTGTGCTCCGCTCTTCGGATAAAACCAGTGGAGTACTGAGGAACCCGAGGCATTCACTACCACCGAACACATCTTGTGTCTACTATTTCCAGGTAAATGTTTGTTAGAATTCTGTATTTCTATTTAGAAAATGTAATTGAAATGGTTATAGAATTTGATACTTCATGTCGTTAGTGTAAAGGTTACTTCTTCTGTGGCATAAAATGTTCTTAAGTCATTTGGTTTCCCATGATTATGCGCTGATTTAGACAAAATGTTTTGTCATTTTAGAATGGAGGAGTAGATATCAAAAGCTTTGAAGGATCCTTGATAACTTTGAATCATTTACTCACTTCGCACTTCTAGACTTTATTATCGAATAATAGGTATAGAAAACATAAAAAAATATAAGTAATATCACATGTTAGGACAAATCTAACCAATCTATTCCACGTTTATTTTTTCCAACTTTGATTGTAACAAAACTTAGTTAGTTTTATTCGTTTAGCTGCTAACATACCGGAAAACGAAATCCATTAAATTATTTACCTACATCTCATAAAATATTTGTAGCGGAACTAAACTAAATGGACTTTTTACCTATTCGGATAACGATTTGTAAAAATATGTATTTCGTCGGATTTTGATAGATTGAAATAGAATGTTAGAATTAGAATTAGAATTTTAGTTAAATTCTGGAAACAAATAAACTAATTAGTAATAAGCCAGTGGCTTCACCCATATGGTGCAATGTGGAGCAATGAGGGAAACGTGTTGTTCTTACGAATAACCTTAATTGAGTGTCTTAATAACTAACTTTTTATTATTTTTATTATTTATTTATCTTTATATCACAAAGGTAAGTATTTTATAATCTAAGCCCCACAATAAAAACCGTTGCAATGGTTTGACTCAGCGGGGTCGAGTCGCTAGACATTATAATTAAAATAATGTACTTATATTAAAATGTTATACAGGCGTTGAAACTTATACTTACTTATACTTATTAGGACATTTCTAAATAATATGACTTCAATTTTCGTTTAAACCTATTTGAATTTGTTTCACTACTTATTTCTGCCGGCAGACTGTTTAATAGATATGGTGTTCTCTTTTTAGTGTTCCACTACTTACTTATAGGGCGAGGTGTCACACTACAATGGTAAAAAGAAAAAAAAACTTCTTTAGCCTCCTAATCTTTTCTGGTGGTACTGATTTTTATTAACTCGGGACATATTTCTTTACACAAAATATCAGTTGATTGATAAACAAGGAAGTAATGAGCGTATGACCAGTTAATCCACCATGCTACGTATATAAATGTTCTAAGATCACTTTCGAGTTTATTCTTCACATTTATTTATTCGACGAAGATGCGAAGAACCATCACATAAAATCCACGCTGTAATTGATCAAAATGAACTTTGTAATATAATATTCATGGCTGACATTTAAATGTAGGCTGTATAGGAGGTATAAATAGAATATGTTATTGATATACTCAAAAATGTGTTAGCGTAGGTGTAGTCTTTACAACAGTAATAGGGTTACCTACAATTATGTTTAGTTCAAAACTGTTTGTAATTATTGTAAATTTCTATAATAAAAATAAAAAAAATTAAAAATAAAATTTATTTAATCACCTGTTAGTTTCATCTCTGCACTATTTAATGGATCACTGGGAGACAATGACCAAGGCATTAAGTTCATCTGTACACGCTTGTTGTAATAAATTGAATTAAATAAATAAACTAATAATTATTTACGTGTTACAAGTCCTTCTTAGTTTTAATATTTAGGTACGTTTTTACAGAGAAATATTTTTAAAGTTCATGAGCTTTTATTCACTGTTCTCTGAACCCCTCAATAACAAAACACAAGAGTCGTAATCCGATCTCTTGTAAAACCGACTCAAAGTAATTCCGGACTCGGATCCGACAAGGACTAAACAAGGTTTTCGATATCTACTAAAAACGGGAACCGACGCAACCATTTTGTATGTCCACTAGCTTTGAAACAAAACAGCTAGGGTTGTTACTGGTAGTTAAAACGATTTACGCTTTCTAGGGTCGGGCCAACGAGATAGTTTGGGTGTCGTTTGTGAAGTACCACTCTGCTGGAACGGAGCCCGCTGGCTTTGATCAACAGAAGGACTGCTCCTCACAACTGACTATATGGGATGGAGCCGCCCCTGATGCCGATTTGGATCGAAAGGTCAGTTTATTGTGTTTATGTTTGCTAGTTACAGGAATGATATCGATTAACACAAACACAGCATGATATCGATTAAGCTGCGTTTGACAATTTTCTTTCGTCCATAGTGCCAAAGAACATTGAAATTTGCAACACATTTGACTTTTAATTCGTTAACAATAAGCAAACAAGAGCATTTGTATGCAGTTGAATTTTAAGCAAGGCTATATTTTTAACAAGTTACAACGAGAACCGGCTGATTCTCGTTCGGTTATTCATAGCATAAAGAATACAATTTTACGTGTACCGCGCCATCGTACGAAATCATGGCAGAAAAGTAAAAAAGTATTGTGACGTTGCTTTTGGGTTTTAGTCCAATTTTCATAGTGGATGAGTAATTATTGTATTACCTGTTGTCCTCCACAATTACAAAATCCAAGCCATTAGACATTGAGAACTCTAAAACGTACAGTTTTCACTCTCTTTAGCCGGTACCGTGAATTAAACTTAAGTCTTCATGGTTGCCGGGGTTCCGGCTCGAAGTGCAGTAGGAACGGGGTGGTTTTTAGTCAGTAAGACTCTGACACTCCCTCCCGCCTCACTCAGGTGGAAGAAATATTCAATGATGTTTCCCCATTTAAAAAAGTCTTAAAGGTCAACAGCAGCAAAGTATGTTGTACTTACACCATTTTAATAGTAATGAAGGAGGTAGTTCTAACAAATCAAAGACCAAAACACCTTCCAAACAAGGTAAATAAAACGCCTAATCGTAATTTAAAGTAAAACGTATCGCTTAGAATAAACAAGAAATACTTTGTTGCTAATTAGGGAATATTTTGAAGCAGTTTAGGTAAAATTAAAGGATATTTTCATTAGATATTTAGTTCTCCTTAATGAGTTTAATATTTATCTTGAAAATGGCCGCGGAGGGTTTAGATTTATAGTCGAGACAAGCTTGAAATATAACGTTGCGAATGATAATTGCAAGTAACACCGTGTTGTTACAAAATGACCTTAATTTGTTATGTCATATCTCCAAAATCGGTACAAGGGAATAAGATATGGTTTTAATTTGTTTTGTCGTTTATAGAGTACAATTTTCTATAGCAGGCAATGTTTGCTCTGACGTTTTTATATCTCTACATTTGACTTTACGCTTGCTGAAATTTAGTTCGCTATTTAGTTAAAATCTAGCTATGATGGGAGATATTTAAATAGTGAATGATACATCATGCTCATAGATAACTGGAGAACTATCCAAATAAAGTATAAGATATTCGATTCTTTTAGGATTATTAGCGTTTAATGATAGTAAAAGGAAGTAAAACGAACAAACTTTCAAACCTAAAAATCATTCCGATTTCAAAGTCGTAGGTACCAAAGAGAAGTACTTCAACATGTGTCGTCTAATGTCCCAAATAACACTGTAAATCTTCTCTTAAAATTGTTATTGTCTAACTTCCGTACTTATCGGAAACAATTCTTGGCGTTCGCGCAATAAAAATAAAATATTTAAATTGTTATCGCATACCGAATCACAATACCGGGTCGTTCGTATAAAATTTTATAGTACATGAATTTAAATGGTAAAGAGTCCGGAGGCAGCGTGTATCGTAATGAAATGTGGATTAAGTTTAGCATGTACTGAGTGAAACTTTCGCAGTGCGCAAGACTTACGCGATGATACAAGCACGAAGCGATATAGAATTGGGAGGCATTCTCACAGCATTTATACGTGCCATTTCACTTTGCCAACTACCTCAACCCCCCACTTGACGTCGGCAGCCAAACATTAATTTTCTTTAATGTGTCTGAGCACTTTTACCGAGTTCCACCGACTGCAGTGCGGTGTTTCGTTTCATTCATTCGAGATTCTTCAGTTTGCATTAAGAATGGATAAGCGGTTCTAGTTCAACTTATTTTTTGTTGGCACTTTAATCAGAAAAGTTTTTCCGTTCGCCCGCAGATACACTATGTAAATAGTGTTGCTCAGTTGAATAAGTAAATAATTTATTCAGGGCCTTTTTAGTTTTCTTTCAATTTGCATGAATTTACGAGGGATTTTTTAAGAATCGAGATGTCAATTTAACTTATTTACTTAAGATCTGATATGTTATAAATATTCAATAGATTTTGGACTCTTTTTCACGTTAAAATTAGGGCTTGAATAAAGCCGAAGATTGCTTCGGCTTTTGTGGGGTCTTTTCTGATTTATAATTCTGGTGGATTTTTTTTGTATAATCAAATTATTTTTTCAACAGTTGGATATGAGTGACAAAAAGTCTCGTCTGGGGTTGTTTTGTCGTGAAGAGTCGCCTCGGCTGTGTGATCACGCTCTACTCTCGAATGCAACTAGGGCAACACGACCGTGTGCCCCCTCCGAGAGCTACATCACCACTGGGAATGCCCTCACTATACTGCAAGTAAGTAAATAATTAGGTTTAAGCTACTTAGTACATATTAGCACACATTTTCCTTTGATCTCGGTTTGTAGGTGTTTGTACAACGACGTAACTAACATGGATGTAGTGAGTAATGTTTTATTGTCAAGCGGATTTGGTCTGTTTTGTTTGATCTTATGTTGTGGTTCCGAGAAACCTAATTATAAGTATTATTAATAAATATTTCAAGATTTATTATGCCATGAGTCAAATGTTAGCTAGGTAGGTACAACAGTTGTCTCCCTAGGTATGTGTCATAACAGGCGCTGCTCTGTGGAGGTTCGAGCAGATCTCTTTTAGAGGACCCGGTGTTGAGGGTGGCCACTTTTTCCTCGAGCAGCTTGACCTGCGCCGAGACCCATCCCACCAAGAGCCTTTTGCCCTCCTTTAATGTTTTGGCCGCTGTGACGGGGCAGCTCACCACCACCGTGCGCAGCCCCGAGTTGTCCGGACGGATGGTGCCCACCTTGACCTGGTCAGCAGGGCACCCTCCGAGGGTGGCCACTAAGGTGGTTTCGATGAGGTAAAAATCCCACACTCTCTAGTGTTTTATCCCCAAAAAGCCTAGGCACCTTTTAAAGGGTTATCCACGTCATCAAAAAAAAAGTACTACGGTTGTTTTTAAATATTTCAAAAACAAAAGAATAAATGATGAATCCTTCACAGAGGCAATATTTTTTTCCAGAGTATTTCAAAACTTCAAATGTTTCAGGTACTGTTAAAATTTTAGCACAAAAATAAATCTCTACCAAAAAACGCTTGCGCAAAAATGTACACCTAAAATCAGACTCGACGACACGACAATGGCACTGCGATAAAAAACTCCAAATAAAAATTACAACGTAAATTAAAGCAACAAACAGACTATGAACAAACTGCCAAAGCTCACATAATTACTACTGCAAATATTTATCTACCTATTTCGGTATGTACTCACGTATGCAAAGAGCACATTGTGACAGGCAGCGAGAAATTTTTGGGCAAAATATAACAGTAGCATATTGCATAGAAGTGGCTCGGAATGGTCATGAATTTAGAAGTACACATAGTCACATTGAACCATACAATCCAGCTTATCATGGTCTCGTATTGTCTGCTCTTTCTATACATTCAACGGTCAGTTTATACTGGATATGCTCAACTTAATGCGAAGCCATGTACTTGGATAAAACACGTCACTTGCATTCGCGAGCTAATAGTTCCAGTAGATCTTGTGAAATTTTTATGTCTCTCTCGTATATTTCAGACGGAATTACTAAGAATATGGCTTCTGGATTATGTATGTGAAAGTTATGGAACTTCCATTCTGTGGCGTACTTGTTCTTTGATAATTCACATTGGAATATTTCAGAGATATATGGAGCGTACGATCTTTTGCCCAGTATTTTTTATTCTAACATGAAGGAATAAAGAAATATTTATATAAATTCACAAATAGATATCATCAGACTAGAGGTATAGTCAGCGACAATTTGTTGAAAGGATATAATATAAACAAATACTTGCTATAAATTATCTGTTGCTGTTTTTGTTGGCACCATGACACCAACGGTTTAAAGACAAAGTCCTCTTAAAGATATTTGTCTTTTAACAAAGTACTATGGAATTATTTAGGTATATAAATTAATCTATTTATTCTTATGTACATATTGTCATGGCAAAACAGAACTCACATTTTCATATTTCACTGTATCTCAATCAACATTTTAGTTCACTTACAAGTAGGCACGATCCGTCTTTGTAGTACCTCATAAAATATCAAGGGAAAAAGAAAATCAAAGTCGCTACAGATACCTACCTATGTATATAGGAAAATTACGATATTCCTTTTTCATAAACGACCCTCTCAACAAATCAGAGGATAATAATATAAATCCCATAAACATGATTTCTCCATTATATCAACCCGTGTATATCGGGAGGTTATATTATTCGAGTATCGATCCTTATTCTGACATTCAAAGCAGCAATCCACGCGGGATTACGCCATTGTTTCCTTTTATAAGTTTACCACTGGCCTTTCGCTATTGCTGTCTGATGTAACTTTTGAGGCGTGTGAAACATTCATAGCAGCCAGGATAGATAAGTCACGCGTTGCTCCCGTTGCATTCGCCATAGTGAATAATGCAAGGAGCACGTGCTAGTCCGTTCGCTCTCTGTGATAGAATGTTTTAGTGTTGTCACGTTATTTTAAGTGTTAGGAGTATCAAGCGATGAGACACGTACTGGAGTGTTTGTAAAACTCTGGATTTATTGCGACTCATCACTCGTTATGGTCGTTTTATTTTCTTTGCGGTAGTTTGCATAAGGTTTTAGATTGGATGTTGTCTCATCAACAGCCTATAAATGCCCACTGCTGAGCAAAGCCTCTTCTCACACGGAGAAGGTTTGAGCATTAATCACCACGCTTGCTCAATGCGGGTTGGCGATTTCAAACTTATAATTGGAAATTACAAGTCCAGGTTTCCCCACGATGTTTTTCCTTCAGCGTTTGTTAGTGGTGTCTAAATAATCTCAGAAAGTACATATAATTCGTAAAAAGTCACATTGGTACTTGCCGTTGGTAGGTTTCGAACCTGCACCCTCATGCATGAGAAGCGGGCGTCTTAAACCTCCGGGCCACCACCACGATGTTGTCTATCTGTAGTTATTACTTGTGGTAAATATTAACATTAGCTAAAGTTGTCACTATCTTTCAAAGAAGTATTGTCCTAAACAACATAAAAAAACCTTCATATTTATCAATGACCAAAGAAATTTAATTTTGTTTTAAAACAAAGAAGGAGATAATATTCTGACCGTTTAAAAAAAAAAACAAATAAAACAGATTGGTAATATAAAGAAGGGTCAGATTAAAAGTACCTACCTTTAACCGACAACCATGTATGAAAAGACTGATAACTGCTGATGAAGCGAAAGAGGTATTCAAGAACCGTAGCAATTGGCGGTCCATAGTCTCTGTCTACTCCATATTTACATATAGTATTGTACAAAGACGGCAAAGTGAATTTTCCCTTCATAGGACTTATTTTCTTTCTGAGTTTAAGTTTATTTTACAGATATCGGTTAATAGAATCATATACGTAACTAAATCAACCTAATGATATACGATCCATTGACGTGAAATATAACTTGGTATATATGTACAAACATCATTAGATAGAACTGGTTAGCTAAATTAATTGGTTTACTGATAATTTAGCGTGAACAGCGATAGGTGTGATTTTCATAGGATATCACGATTTGTAATTTTCCACCCCATTCCGTTGCTCCTACACGAGGCACTAAAATTCGTGATTTGGCTGAGTTGATTTCAGTTTCCAATTTGCAAATAAACTTCTCTCTCATTTTGCTTTCGAATAGTAGTTCAGGTTTTGCTTGTTCAAGTAAAGCTGGTAGGTACATACGTCAATTTTGTTGTCTCATCCAGAGAGTTTTTCCTATGTTTACATTATGTTACAATACATATATTAAAAATGTTTCAATTAAAATATATATTATGAAACTGTGAGTAATTCAGTTGTAATAATAACCTTCTACGCATTTATTTCACTTCTCACATACCTAATTGTTTAAGATCAAATATATCGTAAAAAGATTTAAACTCATCCACTAATTCAACTCCAATATTCTATGGTCACGATCTGAAAAAGAAAAGTAGTCAAAGCGCGTAAAATAATTTTAATAAACTTCAACACTGTCATTTGTATTCGACGCAGTTCTTCAGAAACCAGAATACGCCCCAGTTAATATAGGAAACCTGGTCTTAAGCAAGTCGTTAAAGTCACTAGTTGGGAACTGCTTTATTATTCAATATTAAATTCAACAGAGGAAGGACTGAAGCAAGTTTCTAACTAAATATTTGAAGTTTTACTACACCACGCGGTCGTAGTACCGTGGCACCGACCTTGGCGATACTGCTTATAAAGTAGAAATAACTTTCGACGTTTATAGAAGAGTGAAAATGTATGAAGATAGATCATTAACTATGATTAATGTCTATACTTGTTAGACTTTTACTAATAGCTCAAGTATTTTACTAATGGTTTCAAGACATAATGCTCAAGTCGATATTTATGATACAAAAGATGGAATATGATGTCTTAGGTCTGATGTACCTCCGGAAAAAAATATGTAATACCTAGCAATTAGTCCTTCTAAAATCTGAGGATATCATTAACACAAATCAAGACACCGGTACCTTTTTTACCAGTAACCAGTAAATATTAACAATAGATTTTAGTTAGATACAATTTTAACTTTTCATTTCTTGACAGGAACTCCGCCAAGGTTCAGCACTCTACCCGGTCTCATTCGTCCTTCGCTACGAATTTGTCGACGTTAGTGAGCAAGGCCAACCATTGGTAGACTCACAATCAGCTTGCGACCGTGTCTTCAAATCTGCGCAAACTTACTCCGGAAGATTTCAAGCTCCCCGAGCAATATTTTATTACGGAAGAGGTGGCGCACAGAACCTCACTTGCATTTTAAGGTAAAACTAGTTCTAAGTACTTCCAAAACCTTGAGACTCCATTAAGGATGTTGTTGAAATTATCATAATGTTTGCAGATTCGAAGCGAAACAAGGAGAAAGAATACAGTTAACCTTCACAAGCACTTACTTCGGAAATAAATATTGTAATACGCACAAAGACTCACGGACGAGTCGTTGGAAATGTGATAGGCCTGCGAAAAGAACCATTGGGGGCGAAGGTCTCGCCCAAATTATTATAACAGAATATCCTTGGGAAGGAGTACCGATACAAAGAGACTGCATTTGTACTAATAGATCTGAACCATTAAATGTTCATACATTAACCGCCCCCGTCGTAGAGATCAACTTTACTGTAACTATGATGAATATTACTGAAGATTATGATGATTTTGCTTTTGAAGGCGAATACAAATTCGTTCCTACTGGGCCGGGGGACGAGACTGTGTGTTCTACGGGATGGGGTAAAAGACGACTTAGAGGCAGCAGTGGAGAAATCCGACTGTATGATAAAAGACAAGTACCTGTTGCACCAGAAATAGTTGGTGATAGACATGTGATATCGGAAAGTGTACGAGCCGAAGTAGCTTGTGTGCATAGACCCTGGCTGATAGAACCTGGAGGTGATGAAGTCACACCTGTCCAAGGAAGATATTTGTACGTCAAAGTTCCTGGTTATGAAGTCACGCCATCTTCGCCTTTCTGTACAACACCAAATCGTTTGTATATTTACGAAGCTCATGATACGTCAAAATTAAGAGAAGTGTGTCCAGATGGCACGAGTTCCATAGAACTCTACTCCCCAGGATGGAAATCTTCCCAGACAACTTTGGAAACGTCTTTGAAACCCCATGCCCGGAGCTATGTGATAGACTTCCTACAACACGAACAAGCTGACTATTCAATCAAATGGATTGAACTCATGAAGAAACCGTCTTTTGACCATGATTCGGACTCCAATACAATTCCTCCACCAGTGTCATTAGAATGTCGATACAGGTGGGTTATCAATATTTTTGTTTTGCATATTATGATATTCTATAAATAGAAATGTATGTTAAAATGTTTTTGTTCTTTTGTTTAGCTGCCCGGAGCTGAACGCCTGTATTCCTATCGCACTATGGTGTGATGGCAGCGCTCACTGTCCTTCAGGTTACGATGAAGACGATTCCAATTGCTCCTTCAGGATATCCCTGCCTCCACCGTACGTAGCCGCGGCTGCCGGTATTGGTCTTCTATTATGTGCAATCACTGTAGCTCTTTGCGCTTGTAAAAGACGACGAAGAAAAGACAAAGAGTTCAAAGCAAGACTAGATGGTGCATTACCCCCTGAAGAAAGACCGTTTGATCGAGCTAAAACGAACGGTGTTCCTGAAGCAGCTCGCCAATACGCTACCGTGCAAAAGTATGCGACGATAGATAAGTACAGCTTAAGTCAGAAATACAGTGCAGGGTTGAACGACGCTCGTTACTACGACGAGGTAGCACAAAGGGATAAGCTCGCGGATACAAGGTACGCTAGTTTAGGTCGGGCTGGAAGAGGCATGCGAGTCGAGAACTCAAGAGGCAACGGGTCAAGAAGAGCGATGCCTGATTTGGGTTACCCGGACTTAAAAGACGGTTTTTGTTGACCCACACCGGATCTCATAGAAACAACAGTATAGCCTTTAGGACATTTAAATATTTACAGATTTCCTTTTGTGTAAACATTAGATTGAAGACTGAATTTGGCGAAAGTGCCTCCCCTAACATTTGATCAATAGATATTCAGATTCGAAATTGTAATACAGACATCGGCTTCTATTGTTAAGTAATTTGTTTTATACCGAGACAAAGACTATGACTTTGACTTTGTAGAATATTGTGTAAATAAATTAACTTATAAATAAGTTTGAATAGCAGGCGTCAGACAGTTTGTATTCTTTGCATCAAAAATCTCACAGTACTTTTATATTCTCATCAAATAACATATCTAAATGTACATAAAACGCTTGACAATACGATTTTAAGATACAAAATAAATAAAATCATTTTAAAATGTTAGTAGTATGAGTGGTTAGTGACTGATTCTAAACAAATGAATTGTCGGATTTAAGTGTAAACTGAATTATGTTAACAATTTAATTTAAAAGGAATATTTTCCTGTTACAATTCTACTTGAATATAATGTGAAATTTATACTAATCTTCGAAATAAGAAGGTTATTTTGAAATAAAAAATATAATTTCTGTGTCTCATAATTGAATTTCATCCAGACTACATTGTAATGACACTAGACATAAAAATGAAAATGTGATATAGATTGTAAAAATGTAGGTATCTAAGCGTTCACAGAATGTATAACTTACTAGTCATTTTCCTTTGTGTATAAATATTAATTAAGGTTGTAACTAAACTATAGTTATCGATTGTAAATAAATTATAGATTAAGATTTTTAAAGTCTGTAATTATTTCCAGGTAAAAGGAAGATTAAAGTCATTTCTAAAAATCTATTTCTTTTCGTTTTTCATTGCAATCACCGATACCATTATCATCGCACAAACAATAGACGTTTTTCTTATCAAACTCGCAAATATAAACTTTGATTAACATTTTATATAAAAAGCAAATAATTTCTATTCAAATAATTTCTCCTTTTAACTCAGAAAACAAGGAAGCACCCAAGGCGGGATAAAAATTGCAAGAAAACAAAGGGCGAGATGATGTATCGACCTTACAGTAAAAACAACTCCCTTCTTGTCTACCTGGAAAATATTCCAGCACGGCTTAAAAAGTATACCAAGTTAATGAATAGTACACCAGTCTTATAACAAAGAAACAACGTAGATACACCTTCAAAGACAGTTTTTATGACAATGAAATATTTTTATTTAGTACACAAAAAATGGGAGACATTTTGCTTCATTGGGGTCGTGACGTAAGAACTCCCTACGTTTCTACATTTCTGTCTTGTTAATAATTCTTTTGTAAATTATAGCATTGTATTAAATTACTTTATGCGTCGCCCCGTCACGATATAATGCGGACGTTATGTCACAAATTCTTTTGAACGTTAAAAGCCCGAGACTTTGTTATTTTTTTTTCATCGATACATTTCATATTACGTTCGATGTTCAAAAATGTATAAATATTAAAAGCGTAATGAAAATTGAAACGATTATTCAGTATCCGAGCTTTTAAATAGAAAATGGCTTTTGTAATATTCTCGGACTGACGCTTTTTGTTTACTTTTTACGTTATTCACTGGCTGAATTCTTAAACGGAATGCTATATTCAAATATAGGATACGTCGTGTAGTGTTTGTGAGAAAATGATACTATTTTTGATAGTTGTTGAAAGATTCATTTATAAATCATTTTATCTAAAAATAGAGTTTGAAATGTTGTCTAAAATACTATTTTGCTGAAGTAGTTTTGAAACTAGCGTGACGAGATTGATTGGCTCAAAATAAAAAAGATATTAGTCGAATTCAGAACCTCCTTCTTCTTGAGAAATCGGTTTAAAATATAATTATGTATTTATTCTTAATTATCTGTTTCTTTATTGTTACCACATAATTACTTACAAGAAAAAGAAGTAAATTAAACATAACTGAAAGAAATAAAGAAGCAAAATCATTCCGACAAGAGTATTAATTTTTCAAAACGCCTTGATCATAAATACAAAAATACATAACACGAAGTCACCAGGTACCTAGACTACGCAGCATCACTAATTTGTATTTGTCTCGTCAAATAATTAGATCATTGGCTCAAGTTGCATTACCCTGTCCACTTCGCCGGCGTAACGAGAGCGACGCAAACTAAATTATCTGACGAACTAATTAAAGCTTGGATGGTAACTATAGTTCTGTAACAACAAGTGAAATCCCTGGGAAATGTACAATAGAGGGGTTTGGGAACATTTACTCCATACTAAATTTTGTGTTTGATCGTTTGTTAACCTGTGTGTGGAGCTCTGATTGACTGGTGATTGATGCTGACTATGTATTGGTGATTGTCGTCTTTGTAATGTAAGTACATTTTTATATTAATTACTAGCTGGCTCCGGCATACTTCGTACCGTCTAAAAGTTGTCTAACCTTTTAAAACTTTCCTATAGTGGAAGTACCCACGAATATTTCATGTCCAAAATTAGCCAATTCGGTTCATCTGTTTTCGACTTTTAGCGAGACTAACGAATGGAAATTCATTTTTATATAGTATATTAGGGTTAAGGTTTAGGGACGTAAATGATAAGTAAGCCCTAATCTCATAAGTAGTAAAATTATTTATTACGTTTTCGGCTTACACACGTAACTCGACTAGTTTCTAAATGAATATGAGCATCAAGCATGGCTTGAAACCAGTCAAACTCCTCGTAAAACAGTTACACGAGTAAGCCGAAAACATAATAATTGAAGTATGTCTCATGAAAATTATAATATAAATATTAGCTAAACCTATCTAAATGATTTATAGTGAGGTCACTTGTCAAATGAAGCTAAAAGAAGTACAACTGTAGTAGACACATAATACTTATTTTATCAAGGCTTATGTTTTAGTGTTTGCCATACTAGTTTAAACTAGTCGTTAAGAATACGCTAACATTATAACATAGAAAGCCATGAATAAAAATAGCTCATGTCACCATAATTATGTACGGCAAATATCAGCTTCGTAAATAGCTCCTATGAATAAGTTGGCTGTAGTGTACCTCTATATTATATTATATAGATGATAGATATATATTTCTAGGTAATTGTGTTATGTAATTGGCTACTTAACGTAAGTACACATGATTATATCGATTCAAGGAATAACTTTCTTCGGAAAAGTCCCTACAAATATCACTATAAGTGCCATCAATGAGGTTAATTCTGTTTGTGGACTCATTGAACATCGGTTTCGGTATTTTATAGAAATTATTGAATGTTATAAGTCACGTCAAAAGTCATCGCACACCTAATAAGCATGGCTACGGCACGACTTCAACCTAAATATGAACTTTACGTATGTAGTATGACATATTTCAGAACGTCAATATAAAAAGCTGTAAGCGCGTTATCCGCGCGCAAACGACGCGCTTACAACCTTCTTGTGTTGTTTCCAAAGCAAACTACTAACTTTGACTATCAATTTCTGAATTACACAAAGTATTCCATTCTAAGATATTATTCAGATAGATTACTAACTACTATACAAGTCTACAATTTCATTGTACACTATTTAAGACACAAAGTTCATCTATCTATATCTTCTATACCTACATATACTAAAATCGTAGGAAAGTAAAAACTGAACGTCTAATATTTTTTTAAAAAGAATGCTTAGTGCTTGATCTCTACACTACAGTCGATACCGAAACCAAAAATATTGTTTTTAGAATTTCCGTCTGTATGTATGTCCGGGATGAACTCAAAAAGTACTGCATGGATTTACTTAAAATTTTGCATAAATATTACTAACAGGTCGGGTCAACATATAGGGTACATTAATATGTAGCCTATATGTTCCTTCGTAGTTGATAGCATGATTACGAGGGAGGAGCTGTGAAACACTATTCCACGCGGACGAAGTCGCGGGCTCAACTAGTAATAAAATATTAGCAACAATGGGCATTATAATCCTAATAATAATTATCTATTATAAATGCGAAAGTTTGTATGTGTGTTAGTTTGTTTGTTACTTACTACCGTCACGTCAAAACGACTGAAAGGATCGAGATGACATTTGGAATAGCGGTAGAGGAATACTTAGGCCATTTTTTACCCTACAGGAACGCGGTCGAAGCCGCTAGCAAAAGCTAGTATAAAAGTAATTGTGTTTCCATACTTAATGTTATTTTTTACATAATTATGTTTACATAATTATTTTTAGTCCAGTCTACTTATTTCTTAAAAGAGTAAAAACTCCGATGTTACGTTACACATCTTGTAATATTTATTTTTTATATACTTCCACGTTTTTGCGTACAGACACTAACTTAGTAAACGAAGATAAATGAAAATACTTGGCGTAAGTTTCTGGGCGGGTTCCGCTGTCCAGTTATCCAGCTAAACCAGTTATCCTTGGAATTTGAAATTTAAGGAATGTTTCGAATTTACGTTGTAGGCGCTTCGTAAACACGTTGTTTTGGAAATTTAGAACCAAAGGGGTAACCACAGGGAGGGCACATTGTGCAACTACATCGTAATGAATGTACGGACCTCTGGGTTTTGGCGTCATGTCTATGGGTCGTCAGTCAAACTTATCTGTTTAGGTATTTCGGAATGAAATCGAGAAACTATAAACAAATGTGATTACGCATTTATGCGTCTACAGTCAGTGTGACTTGTGTCTTTTTTATTGTCATTCATCCAATGATGTCTCCCGCCTTCGGTTAGGCGACGAGCAGGAGGCGGGACGGCGGAAGTGTCACTCTTACTGACTAAAACTACCCCATTCTTTCTCCCGATCTTTGAACCGGAGCCCCGGTATCCCCTGTTTAGTGAGTGAACTGATTCTGGACCACATAATCAGAAAAAAACGAGAATCCGATAATTTTACATTTTATTGCTTTTAGGTATAGGAAATACCTATCATGTCTGTATGATATGATGAATATACTGGCTTTTCGTCTGCAACCTCGCTGTGGTCATAAAGCAACTGTAAAATTTGCACCAAAATACTACAATTATTTCATCACAACGTTTAATTTCAACACAGAAGAACGACAAACAAATACGTTTTCACATATAATATTATCAACACGAGAAGGCAACGTATTACAAGCGAAATTATCGCTCCCATAATTTTGCACATGACGCTAATAGACAAAGGAGGTACAGGTTCACTGAACATCTTCAATAAGAAGGTAATTGAGCAGGATGTACTAGCAATATATCATAGACATATAGGTACATACCTAGTTTATATATATTACCATTGTAGGTACTAGGACATTATACGGTAATGCATTAATTGGTTATTGTGTGTGACAAGATTAGCATAATAAACTTAATTGTATCACCTTGTTCTACATATATACATACCTACAAATATACAAAACATACATAATCATTTCACGGTGGTTGTTCAAATAACCGTTAGATACTTCTCGGAAAAAAGTAGGAGTTATTGGTAATAATAATTACAACAACATCAACAGCCTATAAATGCCCACTGCTGAGCAAAGCCTCTTCTCACACGGAGAAGGTTTGAGCATTAATCAGCACGCTTGCTCTATGCGGTTTGGCGGTTACAAACTTATATTTAGAAATTATAAGCCCAATTTTTCTTACGAGGTTTTCCTTCACCGTTTGTTAGTTGTATCTAGACAATCTTAGAAAGAATATAAAACTCGAAAACAGTCACATTGGTACTTGCCGTTAGTAGGTATCGTAGCACCCCCATGCATGAGAATCTTAAACCTCCGGGCCACCACGATATACCATAATAATTATAATAGCCTTTATTTCCGAAT